CCTTGTCCCCATGGTGAGCCACAGCTCCGCCCCCCAACCTCTGCAGTAGACCCTCCCACACTAGCAGGTAGGTGTGGTTCTGTCTCCCCTGGGATCACTGCTCCTTTCCCTGGGTCCTGATGTGCACACTACTTTGTGTGTGCCCTCCAAGAGTGGAGTCTCTGTTTACCCCGGTCCTGTCAATATCCTGCAATCAATTCCCACTTGTCTTCAAAGTGATTCTCTAGGAATTCCTCCTCCCATTGCCATACCCCCAGGTTGGGAAGCCTGATGTGGGGCTCAGAACCTTCACTCCAGTGCGTGGACTTCTGTGGTATAAGTGTTCTCCAGTCTGTGAGTCACCCACCCAGTAGTTATGAGATTTGATTTTACTATGATTGCACCCCTCCTACCTTCTAATTGTGGCTTCTCCTTTGTCTCATTGCCATACCCCAGGTTGGGAAGCCTGATGTGGGGCTCAGAACCTTCACTCCAGTGCGTGGACTTCTGTGGTATAAGTGTTCTCCAGTCTGTGAGTCACCCACCCAGTAGTTATGAGATTTGATTTTACTATGATTGCACCCCTCCTACCTTCTAATTGTGGCTTCTCCTTTGTCTTTGTATGTGGGGCATCTTTTTGGGTGAGTTCCAGTGTCTTCCTGTTGGTGATTGTCCAGCAGCTAGTTGTGATTCTGGTGTTCTCGCAAGAGGGAGTGGGAGCACATCCTTCTACTCCGCCATCTTGGTTTAAGAGCACGTTCCTCCACTTTTTGCTTTTGATGTCAAGTTTATCTTTTATCTTGTAAGTCCATTAAAATTATTATCACTATAGTCATTTTTAATACTCTTGTCTTTTACCCTTCATTTATAAGTGATTTGACAACCACCATGAAAGAGTAGAGTATTCTAAACTTAACTATATATTTACCTTTACTAATGAAGTGTATATTTCCATATGTTTTCCTATTCCTAATTAGTATCCTTTCATTTCAGCTTGAAGAATTTCCTTTAACTTATCTTCTAAGACATCTCCTGGTGATGAACTTCTTTATGTTTTGCTTGTCTGGAAAAATCTTACCTCCCTTTCAATTTTGAAGGACAACTTTGCTGGGTAGAGTATTCTTGATTAGCTTAGGAGTTTTTTTCTTTCAGCTCTTTGACTATATCATCCCAGTCTCTCCCAGCCTACAAAGTTTCTGCTGAAAAATCTGCTGAAATTCTTATGGAGCTTCCTTGTATGTAACAGTTTTTTTTTTCTCTTGCTGCTTTTAAGATTTTCTCCTTGTCTTTAGCTTTGACAGTTTAATTTTAATGTGTCTCTATGTGGGTCTGTTTGGATTCATCTCATCTGAAACCATCCAAGATTCATAGATCTGCATGTCTGTTTCTTTC